CCCCGAAGGCCGGCTTGCATCCGAAGAAGATTTTGCTATCCATATGGTGGGATCATCGTGGTGTGCTGTTTTACGAGTTGCTTCCTCAGGGAAAAACGATCGATTCGAAGGTCTACTGCACACAGCTAACGAAATTGAATCAAGCATTGCGACAGAAACGTCCAGAATTGGTCAATCGCAAAGGTGTCATATTCCATCATGACAACGCCAGACCCCACACCGCAATCACTCAGCAAAAATTAGTGCAACTTGGCTGGGATGTTTTGTCCCACCCACCGTATTCACTAGACCTTGCGCTATCCGACTACTTGACACTTGTCCCTGCAAAACTCCCTCAACGGGAAATCGTTCGCTGATCAGACAGCTGTGAAAACGTACCTCGACCGGTTTTTCGCCTCTAAACCCCAGACCTTCTATGAGAGCGGAATAATGAAATTGTTGGAAAGATGGCAAGAGGTCATCAACAAAAACGGAGAATATATCATTGATTAAAATTTTAGTGTTCGGGGCAGAGCCTTACAATCTTCAGTCAACTTCAGTTTGGCGACACCGAAAGTATGCATTTCCCATAGCAAAAAGGGACTAGCAGTCCATGTGTTTGTAGAGTCAAAGAATATAAAAGCTATAGTCACTATGTTCACAAAGAGAAGAAAAATGGTAAGAGAAAACAGAAAGAGAACGCGCACCACGATGAGCGAGTGCAATGCCACAGTATTCCCCTCCTGAAAGTGGCCCTAAGTCGGTCGACAGTGGCTGCGTTCGAACACAGATTTAGTTGGTGTTGGGAAAGAAGATAAAGTTGGCAGTATTGGAAATTACCAATGCTGCGTTTTGTTTTTCCCGCTCGGAGACCAAAGTAATGATGCATAAAAAATATATTGATTTCAAAGAAGAAAGTTATTTGAAATATTACAGGAGATACGTAAGTAGTCATGACTAAACGCATTGGTAATTTCCAATACTGCCAACTTTATCTTCTTTCCTAATACCAACCAAATCTATTTTCGAGCCAGCGATGTTAACACGTTTACTGTTGACTTCGATAGCGAAGATCTTATCTGAGATATGCTCTAAAAACTTGATATAGTCCAGTATATGGTTGATCCAATGGACGCCTGGTGCCTTTGAGGAATACGTGTGAGCAGTAGGTCCTTGTGAAAAAATAGCTTAGGCTTAAGGTGAAGTCCCATGAAGTCAGTGTACGGTGTACCGGCGTAAAAGAACTAGGCCAATCACAGGCTTTATGTCCGTTTTCGTTTCGCCAGTATAAATTCACGCTGGTTTTTCGCGCTCCAGCGTTACATTATACATACACACACACACACGTACATGCACACGCGCGCGCGCACAAATTAAATATCGCAAGCAGATTTCAAGGCGAATGCGAGCAGAAATTGGCTTACAAATAAGAAATTGTTTCTGTGTACATGATGAAACAATCTGCAACAGTTTTTCAAATGTTTCTGGTGTTATTCAAAAATAATTGAAAAATAATTGAAAATTTTTCTGTCTTCGAAAATCATTTCTTGCACCAGATTATTATTAGCCCATTGTATTACTCGTTTTTTAATAGTAAAAATTGATCTAATCCAAAATTTTCGAGCATTGCATCTAATTACAGAATCTCTTTTCTTCTCTTTAGTTCTTATTAATTCATATGTTATATATTGGGTAACAAAAGTTTGTAATTAAATTTTATGAGGCCGATGAAATGGCGTAACCCGTATGCGGCCTGGGGAAGTCGCGAATGGCCGCGTACTTTTGCCAGGGTTGCCTTACAATCTTTGCTGTTAATTACGAAACCGAGGAATTCCAACTCGTGTTTACTGAACTAGGATTTCTCAGTATTAAGACGCAAGTGAAATTTCTTTAAACGTTGCAAAACTATGCGTAAGTGCTTTTCGTGTTCCTTCGGAGACGCTGACGCTATAAGTATGGCGTCAATAAAAAATGCAAATACAAATTCTAAATCACCGAGCGCACGAAAGATATATCGCTGAAACGTTTAACATGCATTTCTAAGATTGTTGATTATATAATTGTATTCGAATAACCCGAAGAGTGTGATCTCCGCCATCTTAAGTATGTCTTCTTGCGTGACGGAAATCTGGTTGTAAGCTTGATGGAGATCGAGTTTGGAGAATACTGTTTTTCCACGCAGATTGGAAGAGCAGTCATGCAGATGCAGTACAGAGAATTTTTCTGGTACCGTAATCACGTTTAGCTGCTGATAGTCGCCGCAGATCCTCCAAGACCGCGCTAATGGGTTATACGGCATTGACGAATCCTGCTGCAAACGAATTGTTCCGGGCATAAGTATCTTTGAGATCCGGTAAGAGACCATAGAACGGGATTAGGTCAGCCCCTATTATTGCATACGGAACAGATGCTATGCAGAAGTTTCACGTGAGTGGACGTATGCCGAGATGAAGAATATGAAACGCTTCCCCATATGTATTAATGTGTCCTTTGCTGGGTGCAATTTAAAACTGTTCGGTATTTTATTTAAGCTACAAGGAAACAACGAGATTTCCGCGCCAGTATCTATGAGAAATACTTTCCCTGTTACATAATCGCGTATGCGGAGACGAACAGAGATGTTTCGATCTGCCGCACTCGTCTCCGCGGTGGCAGATGCCTCTATTCTCTCGTATTTGCCATCGCATTTGCCGCCATGATGACCTTAGATTTTGGGCAAGAATACGGTATTTTTCGGTGCCTTTACACACGTGCGCTTGATCCCCAAAAATTCTATGCGGCTAATACACGTTAGAGCGTTTACTTTTCGAGCGCTTGCGTTTATTGTCCGATCCCTTTTGTCTTCGACCTGCTTGATCGCTTGACTTCCGCCGCGAGAGTTGCTAGATTCGCAGCAAGGCGATTAATTTTGGATTCACGATCGGATGACTTCGATTCTTTAAGCGACGTAGCAGCACATTATGCTCACAAGAGATTTTTGTTATTTTGTTTGCTATTTGTCTAGCTTATTTAACTCGGTGCACTTTGAGGATGCTTCTAACATATGGTGACATATGATTTTGTTGAAATGTTCCAAAGTGTTTCTTGCTTACTGAGATCCGTAAATGAATTCTTAGCACTTTTTCCAGTACATTAGCTGCAGAAAAAAAACAGCTTTGCAACTGTTGTAAAATTCTTTATTATGATTGGTCTTGCCCTTAGTTTCTAACTGGATTTAAGGCCAGTATCCACAGCACGTTCTTAATCTCAAAACTATGTCTCAAGTAATGTCTTAAGATGCCAATACGACTCTCTCTGATTGATTTATTATCTCAAATACTCGCTTAAGGCTATGTCAAATCTTAAGCAACGTCCATGAATTTTGTCCTAAACGTATAAACCAATCTTAAGAATTTTACAACAATTGCAAAAGTGCTTTTTCTGCTGAACGTACTCACTGACTATATTTACACGGCACCCTTAATCGTGTTTAACAACATCCGTAGTTATGAAACTGGTCAATCAGTGATTCTGTTTTAACTTGAGAGTATTAATGCATCTGATGCATTCATGCAGCAGTGATGCACTTTGAGTCCGGGCACGCCGCGTTCGGCTCGACTCGGCTCAGTGCGACAGCGTGATACGTCCGTCCTTCTTGCGTTCGGCAGCATCGAGCGCAAACGAAACAGCAACTAAAAGTTTTGCTCGCGTTCGACGCGCCGAAAGCTGTCCTAGCGCACGAGAAGAACGAACATATTTGTTGTTGCGCTCATTCGCACTGAGTGAGCCGAGTCGAGCCGAAGGCGGCTAATGCCCGAGCCTAAATGTGCTTCAAAAGACCTGTTCTTTTTAGCTGAACTTACACGTTCATCTTTTCTCATTTTCTTTTCAACGTAGAAAGAAAAGGAAGAAAGATGGACCATGCAAGAACTTTAGTTAAAAAGAATAGATGTCATGCATCAGTCTATGTCAGTGCTAGGATTTATTTGCACATTTCGGCCGATTTTCAGCTTGGCCGATCGACATTTAGGCTGCGCAAGAGTTAATGAAGAGGCAGGAACCAAACCAAATAGAACAAAAACGTTAAAAAACTGTTGAAAAAACGTCAGTAATAGTTACAAGTAAACGTTTTTAATACGTTATAAGTGTAGGAAACATTAGAAATAATGATTAATTAAACGTTTATGAAACCAGTATTCAAAATATTATAAAACGTTACTTTTTACTATAACAGAACACTTTAAAACATTTAACCAACAAATTTACCAACAAATTTATTTGTTACTAACAAATTTATCTAATGTTTTTGTAACATCTATATATGTCTTGCACACATTTTTCGTACGACAAAAACGCACAAATAAAATAGAGGCCCTAGAGTACTTTAAGTAAGAGCTAGTACGGACAGAATGCGAATGAGGCAAAACCAAAAATGTGTTTAAGCAATAATCTGCTACACAGTCAGGCATTGTAACTTGACAAATTCATGTCTTCGTTTCATTAAAATGATATATTATATAATTCAATCATCGATCCTTCATTACTTATTCTTTTCATTTATTTATATATTTTTACCTTAAAAAACAACGATTTTAAATTTGTACAACATGGTTATTTAATTAGTTCTTATATAAAAAACGTTTTTAAAATAACCTTAAATGGTTCTAAAACAAAAATAACCATTCCTAAACATTTTATAAACATTATTGTTCTACTTGGGAAACTAAAAATCGGCAAGTAAATCCCAATGGTCTATGCGCTTCATGCATAATTCGAAACGAATATATACGTGATAATGTGTGTCTTAAATGGGAAATCCTTCTAAGGACTCTAAAGAAGAAGAAGAACGAATATTATGAAGAAGTCGAAGCAAATAACTTAAAATCTTGAAAGTTGTTTATTTTATATTATTTTATAATTTTCATCTTTATATTATTTCATCTTAATTAATTACAAATAAGTTTTAAATTTGTAAATCAATCTTCAAAATTTGACGTTATATTATTATGTTGGATATCTTTAATTAATAATTAAAAAATGTAATAAAATAATATTATATACACTACTCAACAAAAAATAGGAAATACTTTCGAACTCAAAATTGTGCAACATTCAGAACACCGTAACTCGGTGAAAAATCATCGACAAAAAATAAAAAAAGCATTTGAAAGCTTGAAATCTCTGCTTTTGAAGTCGGTAATTGGTATTTCAATCTGACTAATCTTTTACGGGCACAAATGGATATCCGTTGAATCTAAAAATTTTGTACAAATTTTATAAAGGTCTAAGACATGAAGTAAAAATTACAAAAATGTGGTTTACAGCAGTTGAAACAGTGAATCTATATCTTCAATTTATTTTTTTATTGAACGTTGTATGATTTTTTTTCATCGAGTTATTGAACATTGAAGTAAAAAAAATCACTTTTGCTTCAATACTGAATAACTCGGTGAAAAACAAATCTTGCAATGATTAATAAAAAAGCAAATTAAAGGTAAAGATTTACTCTTTCGACTGTTGTAAACTGCATTTTTGCAGTTTTGAAATAATAAAAAAGAATAAGAAAAAAGAGAACAAAAAAATTTAATTGTTTCCTGCTCTCAGCAAATCTAGTCCTAATGTTTTCTTCAGATTTACATATATTAGAAATACAAAAATATTTTTTTATTTTTATTTCCTGTCACATCTTTCTGATATGATGCCTGATTGAGCATTGAATTATTAAAAATTGTTTGTCAATTTAATTTAGTTATTAAATTAATATTAATTTAATGCATGTACATTTATATAGTATATAATTCACATTAAATTATTTAATTATTAAAGATCCAACTTCGATCGTTAGGCATTTAATTTCTAGTTTGTGTTTTTTGATTGATTGTGTTTTTCACATGTACGGTCTAAAATAAGATTTTTATTAATTAAAGATTACTTCACGAGTACTTCAAATAATCTCTAAAGAATTGAAATAATCTCGCTATAGGCTGACCTTATATTATTATGTTTTCAAGTTTCGACATCGGTGAAGTAGTTACGATATTGATATTGCGTATAACGACTTGAAATGATAATTAAACTTATCAGTGACTTTCCATGGCATAAAACATTTAAGTATTTCTCTGATTTTTAGAGATTTTAGAATTATTTGAAAGAATAAACCTTTAAGTCTCATATTCTTAAAAGATTCATATATTTCATTTCTTGTAGATATATAATATCTAAAATTATTAATACAATTTTTGCCATGTGACTATTTTGCTTTTAAATAATATTATTAGCTAAAATTACTTTGAAAGTATGACAACATAGCAAAAAAATATTTACATTAAAAATATATTTGCATTAATAATTACTTTAAAAGGTTTAAATTAAATTTTAAAGAATATAACTGTATTAATTAGTGATTATAAATTTTAAAAATATTACGAAATAAATGTTTTATAGAGATACTTTTGTATATAGAGATACTGTATTACATTAGAGAATTGAAACATATCATTCATATTCATATTTATATTTCATGCTGATTTTACTTTATATATATAAAATGTGATAAATTGATTCATCTAACTAGCATATGATTGTGCATTTAAAAAAATAAAAGTGACTTTTACAGTACATCCTCATCTATAAGAAACAAAACCATGCTAACAAACTGTTTTTTTTTAAATTAGATATTTTTTGTTTAAAATTTTTTCTTATTACAAATGCATTCTTTTTGAAATATTAAAATGACTTAAATGATTTAAAATCTTAAACTATTTAAAATAAGTCATATTACAAAAATATTAAATTGAATATTGAATTAAATTGAGCAAATCAATTTTATTATGTTGATACGTTTTACCAATCGATAACTGATTTTATCATATAATTTTTTATTGCGTTAAACTGACGTAACAAAGGTTATGTCAATCTTTCACAATCCATATACATAACGAAAAACAAGATAAAAATAAAAATTTCAGTTTTGTAGTAATCCATATCGTTTGTGCTTATCACCAAACAACAGTAGATACGTATTAAAGCGTATTAGATATTTATAACCTTAAATAGTTTCTGCGTGTCTGTTATATGGTTCGTTAGTCCATCATCTTTTTTACAGACCATCGAAAATGATCTTGAAATTTTTCAAGACGCCTGGTCTAAAGACAGGCCAGCTGAAAAATAAACTACATAAGGTATTGCAAATCGAACCCTCAGTGACCAATCTTGAGACCGAATTGTGTTATTATGTGGAAACAGAATCACTGGAGGAAGATGAAGTTCAAGTATTAAAGTGGATCTTGTCACCTCTCTCAAAAGGAGAATGTTTGCGATGTGATAGTATGTTCAGTGATACTGAAAACCACGTTATTGAAATTGGACCCAGGTAAAATTTTATATCTCACAATTATATGTTTTATCTTGCCTTAAGCCTATTCTACAATGTGCTTTTTATTTCCTGTTTCTTGCTTTTTACTTCTTGCTTTTTTCCTCTTTGCAACCGTTTTACCGATAATTGTGTTTCTTGTTTCTTTAATTTTTAAAGTTCGTTAATTTTTATCTCGGGCGATATAAAACAAAAAACCGGATAAGAAGCAAAAAGACAAAATATAAAAAATAGCAAAAAGCAAGAAATAGAAAACAAAAAGCACATTGTAGAATAACCTTTATAGTTTTGTTTGTAATAACTTTCATTGATGTTTGTATCATACATTATTTTTTTAAGTATCCAGCAAACGAAAATGGATTAAGATGAATCGAAATTTTTTTCTATCCGAATGCGTATTTTAAATACCGAATACTTTTTTTGGATTTAATTGGATTTAATTGGATTCAGTTAGATTCAATTGGATGCAATTGGATTGAAAAACTGCATTTCCTACTCAAAATTTTGAATTGAATAATATTCACAATGCACAGAAAAAGCTAATATAATTTTTAGATTGAAAGGCTAGAGATATGCTCCATGCAATTCCTATAAATGAATAAAAATGCATTCAGGATTGAAAAGCATTCATTTTAACATTCGTAAATCAATATTTCTGAAAATCTGAATCCATTTTAATTCATTTCCATTCTCGTTGTATTACGGGTTTTACATATGACATGCTTGCTGTGCTTGTTTTAGCACTGAACTACCGTATCTCCACATATACAGAATGTCTTATTATATCGTATCGATATATAATATGTCTGATTACGTGAACGATGTCTTATTATATATATATATATATAAATATAAAATACATTATATACAGAGTGTGCTGAAAGTTTTTGCCAATCACTTTTGTGTAGAGCGGACTAAACTGAGTTGAAAAGTCCTCTACTATTTTGCAATTTTCGCAATAGTTAACAAAATATTAATTACTAAAAATTATCAAATATTAATCTTGAATAATTTTTTACTCAAATCATCTTTACAGAAAAACTGCAAGAGACAAAAATCATTTATTTTCTTCTCATAGAATTCTAAGAATTTTTTCAGAATTTTTTATCAACTTTTTAGTACTGCATTTTTTTTATTTTTATCAACATGAAAAAATATCAATATTAAAAAATTTTGAAAAAATTCTCAGAACTTTATGAGAAGAAAATAAAGGATTTTTGTCTTTTGCAGTTTTTCTATAAAGTTGATAGTATTTGAGTAAAAAATTATTCAAAACCAATATTTGGCAATTTTTAATAATTAATATCTTGTTAATTATTGCAAAAATTGTAAAATAGTAGAGGACTTTCCGATTCTGTTTAGTCCATTCTATCTATATAAAAGCGAATTGGCAAAAACTTTTGGGACATCCTGTCATTCATAACAGTGTTGATCGCATTTAAATAACTATAGTCTTTTAAAAAGGTTGCTAAAAAATAAAATAGACTATTTATGCAACTTACAAAGCCTTAAAGGATTACTATCCTTGTGAACTTTTGGCAGCCCATAGAATTTTGATGAATCACTGTCAGATACAGTTTTTTATACGTAGTCTGATCTATGTATTTCCTATTTTCCCATTGTTTTAATAATGTGCGAATTTCTGTTGTAATTATATTTATAGGATTGTTATTATAAATTATGTATGTATTATCGTCAGACAGAATCTCATGTAGCTTGGTCTTATATTCGTTTAAATCTAATATTACTGAGGAATTTCCTTTATCTGCACGTGTAATTAAGATTTCAATAGTGTTCTGAAATGAATCGTTTTGTGGTGTCTATACTTTCTTTTAATGGAACCATGTTATTATTATTGTTGTTTTTAATGTGATGTTTGTGATTTAATGTCTTCAAAATTGTAATTGACTCATTATGAATTAATGATTTTTTATCTAGTTCAAAATATTGGTCTCAATATGTTTAATGAATTCAATCGTTATTTTCTCTTTATTTTGTTATTGATTAGATTAAATCTTTGATCTAGTAATATTTGTTTTACTTTATCTGGAATATCACAACTACTTAGATTGACGAGCCAATTTTTGTTAATATTATTAACTTTGTAATTTAAATCAAATTTTTCCGGTGTGATGTTAATATGATATGTCATTTCAAAGTTGAAAGACAGGGGTACAGATCTCTTTGGTTGTAATTTTAGCATTTTTTGAAGAACAAAACCCAGATACATACTTGTCATCAGGCGCTTTAGTGGTTAATAGATTAGCAAATCTATTTTAATTTCCTATTTAATTCACGAGAACGTAAATTTAATTTTTTATCTATTTTATTGAATTCACTTTTTGCCATAATTTATTAAAATTTCTTGTTGACGGAAAAAATTATCGCTAATACGCTAAAATCGCTAATATAACAGGTGATCGGTCTATTTCTCTATATGTTTTGTACAAATTATATTTAATAAACTCTAAATGTTTATAGGCATCGTTTAACTCAAGACGTAAAGTTCTGTAGATAAATTTCTGTTTGAAACTATCCATCTTATGTATTGAAGAACCTGATTGGCTGTTTCTATACATTTCGCAACTTTCGACATTCAAATATGGATTAGGTTGCAATGATTTACAACTTGTGATTGGCAACTTGTCATTCTGCGACTTGCAACTGTGTAGATCGTGTTGTAACTCATTGTAGATCGCCCTTAATTCTTATGAACAATATGAACAATATATCTTTGATGGCAATAGTTGTTCTCCTGTAAATTGATCGTACAATAAATTGTTAGAAATCACAAGGCAACACGACGGAAACAATTTCAGCCTAAAATCTTATTCTCATAAATTGCCAATAATCTAGCGGTATTTTAAACTTGAACGAGCTCTCCAAACGTGAATGAAATGTAATCGAAGTATTCTCGGTAAGCGTAACAAGCGTGAGAACATTTTAAAGTATTAGGAGATTTCATTTATTCGGTAAACATTTGAAAAAAAGTATTATGCTTCCATCTTAGAGTCCTTGGGATTCACTTCGAAAAATTATTCCATTAAAACACAGTTAAAAAATATTTTAATGCTGCGTCTTTTATTCTATTCTATGTCGTTTTTTAAAATTGAGAAATTTAACTCTATGCATTTCTCTGGTGACGATGCTGCATAATGTTTGACGACGCTCCATTTCTATTCAATTGAGAAATGTGAACTAAATAGTATTTTACGAAAACGATTTCCAACAAATTGTAGCAACATTTATGGCAATAAGTTTGCTATAACATTTCCTCTCGTTTGCGCAAACAATTGTCTGCTCTAGATTGCTCTAAACGAAATTATTATTGTCCTGGTGACAGCAACATGATGGCAATTGAAGAAAAATTTGTGCTAAACCTATTTCTTTTCTTATGCCAAGGAACGTTTTGTTATTTGGGTATGTCCTTCGAATCATACAACTCCTGAGAGTTAGAAACATATTATCTACTACAGTTTTCGAGAAATCTTAATGTATTTTTTTTTAAAAGGAACATTCTATGTATGTAGTACGGTTCGCATAAAATTACACGGCCGGTCTCACGCTGACATGTCGCCACGCGTGTCTTAGCGCGAGACACTACCGTGTCTCCTGATATTGTACTCAGCATATCAATAACTTTTTGTTGTAGATTGAATTTCTCCACTGCATTTTCTACCAATGTGGTTTCTATATGCAAAACTGTCAAATTAAATAAAGTAAAAAGAGTAGAAATAGCAATCAGATATTGCATTAAACATAAAAAAAGATTAAACGAAAAAATAGAAAACGCTGTATGTATCTTTTATTTTATTATATAGATTATTACATTTGATATTAATTTTCTTACAGTTGAACGTTCTTTTTTTTTCTCTATTTTCCTTTTCTTTTCTCTTTCTTTTCAACCTATTTTCTTTCTTCCCTTCACTATTTTTCTCTCATATACATATCATCAACATAATTATCGCAACAAGTAAATTCCATTAAAAAAATTTCGAAAATTTCATATAAACATCATTTCGCAAACTGTTCAAAATGTTTTTTGCGTTTTTAAGAGTAAAGTCTGTATTATGTTTTTAATAGATTTTAAATTTCTCTTCTCTCTTTCGCCGTCTCTTTAAAAGTAAGAACATTTTACATCTCTAAAAAAATTGCATAATTTGAGGATGGAATTTAGAGAAACGTTCTAGAGAATGGAATTTTTTCACAAATATAGTGACAATTAAAATAGACTTTCTTATAAACAAATTCTTAAGTTACGCGCGCGCGTAATAAAGCACAAAATCTGATTAACAATCTGTGCGTGGTGTGCATCGAATAATATTGATGTTGGCGATTATCGAAGAAAATTGTGTATATAACTTTGATATTTTGTAATTTCACAAAAAAGGTTATATAACTTTTTTTGTAATTTATAAAGGAAGTCCATATATTGCGATTGTTTCCATGACATTTGTGAAAAAAATTAATTTCATCCCATAAAATGTGTCAAATTATGTAATTTTTTGGAGACATAATATGTCTTTATTATTGAAAAAACGGTGAGAGATATGGTAAGAAAATAAATTCAAAATTTATTAATAGATTTTTAAAATAAAAGGTTTTACTAGCATTGAGAATGCGAAGAAGATTTCGAATATAATGATTTTTGACGAAATTACAATTATATAAATTTTGCAAAATTTTGATAGAATTTATTTATTGCAATAATTTTGTTGATAAGTTTATTATTGTCATTTATTATAAGACGTTTTCTATATTTGAAGAAATATTATAAATTTTTTAGATTATAAATGTGTTGGGAGATAGAATGACAGAATGTAGATATATGAAACCTATTGAAACATTTGATCATGGTTTTAGACCAGAGAAATGGTTTGAAGTTGATATAATCAAAAAAGGCAGAAGTGCTTTGGAAGAAGTTAATTTTAAATTGGGTAAGCAATAATATTTGAAAAACTGATACTTTTTAATTAAACGAAAAAGCAAACATAATTGAAATATATTTTTCGAATTAAAATAAAAAAAAATATATTATTTACATAAAATAAAGATATAAAAATAAAGATATAAAAAGTACGGAAATTAAATAAACTTTGTTTTTTAAAAAATGTATAAATGTGATAAAATTATTATATAAAATTTATATTCTTGTTGTTATTGAGTTGATGCAAATTTTTATTATTTTTAATAATTGGACTCATTTTAATTTATTGGACACTTTTGAATAGGATATGCTGCTACAATTTTATTATTTTAAATTTTGAATTTGCAGGTTTGGCATTTGATGATTGGGATTTAGACTTTTATACAGAATTATTTCTTCAAAAATTAAAACGGAATCCAACCAGCGTAGAATGTTTCGATCTTGCTCAATCTAACAGTGAACATAGTCGCCACTGGTTCTTTAAAGGACGCATCATTTTGAATGGAAAAGAAGAAAAACAATCTCTGATTGACATGATTATGGATACACAAAATTACTCTAATTCAAATAATGTAATAAAATTCAGCGACAATAGCAGTGCGATAGAAGGATTTAAGATTCCTGTTTTACGTCCTATAAATACTTTTAAATGCAGTAACTTCCATCTGGAAAATATCAAACAGCATCTTATTTTTACAGCAGAAACACATAACTTTCCAACTGGCGTTGCACCTTTCAGGTAAATTTAAATAAAATGTAATGAAGCTCAAGAAGTTAGAGTTAAAATTACTGAATTTCTAAATTTTCATTACAATTCGTTTACTTATCTCCTTTACGATTATAATATATTTATATTTAGCTTTACTCTGTTTATTTCTATAAAAGTTATACTTCTTATCTCATCTTTTAAAATACTTCGAATATTATTTATTCAATTATCCATTATTAACATTAACTTTTCGTAAACATTGTAGTTCACTGATACTTGGTGGAGTGTCAAGTTGCTCCTCACTTTGATGAAGTGAACTGCACAGTGCAGTTCACTTCAACTGAAACGTTGGCATTCTAATAATTAGGGATGCATCGGATCGTAAAATTATCGGATACTGGATATTAGATATTCGAACAGAATATAACATCGGATATCCGGTATCCGATCGATATATTAGCAATTGAAAAACGAATATATTTGAGATATTTTATATTTTATTGTATGGTAAAAGCAAGGAATATGGAATAACGTTTTTTAAATTAACATTGCTCCGATATAAATGCATATGAAGACTTTAAATTTACACAGAACTCTTGAGGAATATATTAGCTACAATATTCAATACATTGAAAATCGCCAAAATTTAAATCCAAGTCAATATTAACAAAAAAATAAAAAGTGGGTGGTTTAAAAAATGGGATGTAATATGGAATACCGATGAAATTTCGATAATAGTAACAAATAACACAATAAATGAAGTTCAAATTTGTTTATTTATGCATAAATCAATGACGAAAAATAGTTAAAAATAGTTTACATTTTTATTGTATAACACAGAAAATACATTAGCATTACTGAACATAAGCTAGTAAATAAGCTGATAATATGGAATATAGCTTCCCAGATAGCAAAATGTTAGCAGGATGTCGACTGATAGCAGATTTGATCAGAAGATGTTAGCAGACTGACCACAACTGATGTCGCATTCTGCCGGCAAAACCTGGTAACATTCTATGCAAATAGACTAGCAGCAGAAATCAAACAGAACCTGTTGACAGAATCTGGTAGCAGATTGCGAGCAAAAACTGAACAAGATCTGTCATTTTCATTTAAATCGATCTGATTTCTTATAAGAAATTTTGTGTACATATATAAACGGTTATATATAATTATACATAATTATATATTTATATATTGGTGCGAAAACTGGAGAAAACAATCAATACAATTTTATTGCTTAAATATTATCGATTAGCTTCACATTTCAAAATAAACATGATAAAGTTATAAAAATCAAAAAAATATTTGGAGATTCAGAAAGCACTCTGAAAGAGCTTGGGAATCTCTAGGAGATTTGCCTATTCGATTTACATATGCCAGTTCTTATAGAACTCCTGGACGTTTTCTTCTTATAAGAAGTAAATCCATTTCGTGGCGAGACCGTATATAAAAATGACAGATCTTGCTCGGTTTTGCTGCCAATCAGATTATTGTCAGCTCTGTTCGGTTTCTGTCACCAATTTGCTGGCAGAGCATGTCAGCAAGCTTTGTCATATTTTTGACATATTGCTGACATTGTCTGATAGTACAAATTCCAATTGTACAATTTGTTGCAATCAGAAATTGGTAGCAGCTCAGGTGAAAATTTTTCAGAATTTTTCATGTAATTTTTCAGAATTTCTATATAATTTTATAATTTTTTCACATTTTTTATACAAATTAGAACATTTCTCAGAAAATTTACATCTTTTCTCATATAAATTTTTCATATATGTTAATTACTTATTATAAAAATATAGTAAGATTTTTAAGAATTTTTGTAAGTATAATTTCTGATGAAATATTATAAAATCTAAAAAATTTTAAAATACTTTTTAAAAATTATGGGATGAGAAATTTCAGAATATTTCAGAATTCACTTATATGAAAAATTCTGAAAGAAGATGTAAACTTTCTGAATATTTCTGAGTATTTCTGAAAAATGTTCCAATTCGTATAAAAATTATGAGAAAAATTTTCATCAGGGAGATTGCTGAAAATCTGTCTCTTCAGATTTGACTATCTGTATAATCTATAATCGCAAATAAGCTGGTAATGTTTGAAATACATCCTATAATTTAACTTACCTGATCACGAATAAGTTGCTAATATGGAACCTATACCATAGTTCAACTCTCAATGTATTTCACATTACCTGTATGTCATATGACAAAGTCTTTCCGTAGCAATAAGTTAGAAATCGCAATTTACAGTGTTGTTCATGCAACATTATTAAAAAAACGTTTATATAATATAAGCATTAACAAACTTACCTTCAGTTTGAGAATACGAAAATGCTGCCGAATCTCCTGATATAACGAAAATAAACAAATATTTATTATGATGAATTTTAATTTATTATTGTATTATTGTGTCGGACCGAGCTCATTACTAGTTATGACAAGTTTGATAGCTTGTTTGAATTGCAATAACTTTCAGCGATTGCCGTTAGATTACAATGTTTAGGAAATAAGCTACTATTCGATATTAGTAACTTATTCCACATTCCTTGTTTTTTCCTTATATTAAAATATGTTATAACAGAATATTACATACACTGTAAACTATTTTTTAAATTAAATATAAATAAGATCAATAATCGAGCTTTTTAAAGTTAAAGCATACTCTAATAAACTAAAAAAGTATATTTTAATAAACTAAAAACAATTTACATCTCAATTTTAAAAAATATAATACATTTCGGAATCACGGGTCCTTTTTTAGTTAATTACATCCATGATGAAAACTTATTTGACATGAGTCGGTTAACAATAATGGACGTAAAGCATAGACAGATATCACAATGTAGATTTTTTTAATGGTCGCTGTCATTGTGTATGATAACTTTCAGTACACAATGACAGCGATTATTAAAGAAAAATCTACATTGCGATATCTGTCTGTGCTTTACGTCCATTACTGTTAATGGCTCATCGACGCATCAAAAAAGTTTTTACCATCATCATGAATGTAATTAACTGAAGAAGGATCCGTGGTTCCGAAATGTATTGCATTTTTAAAAAATTGAGATATATAATAAATTGTTACTTTTTTATTTTATTTGAGTTTAGTATATATTTTAACTTTAACTTTAAGAGTCTCAATTAATGACCTTGTTTAAAAAAAACATGAACGTATATGTTGCGCGTGTTTAATTGTCTTTATCTAATATTATATATTTTATATATTTTGTTTTTAAAATATTTTTTTCAATTTTATGATATTTTCGACATGTAAAATAAAAAAAATTGAATTTTAAGAACGTATAGCTAATTTAAAAAATTGAATTAATTGTGAAATTATTTTCGCGTCTCTCTGTTTAGAAAAGTATTGCCATTATGTTGCGTAACGTTCTGTAATTTATTTTATTTATTTTTTCTAAATAATATAAATGTTGAAATATGTTCATGAAGTTTCTCATGATTATGTCTGCATGTGCTCTTATTTAAATATGCAATAAACTGTAGTGGCGCCACAACGGGTACCGGAGGTCGATTGAGGGACATTCAAGGAATCGGTAGAGCTGGATATTACATAGCAGGCACTGCTGGTTATAGTGTTGGTAATCTCTGTATTCCAGGTATATTATCTATGTGTTTTTATTTATTGAAGCTATAAATTTTAATAGAGGAAGTTGCTTTATATGAAAAAGCAAATGACATGTATCCATATACATAGCATGTTCATGTATCCATATATATAGCATGTTCATGTATCCATATACATAGCATGTAATATTACAATAACATTATAGTGACATTATGATATTGCAATAACGATGTAAATATGAATGACCAAGAGCAAGTGAGAGTGTAGCGTTGTCGACAGTACGCAAATAATAAAATGCAGATGCTTATTACTCCTTTATTCCATAAGTTAATATAATTGTACGTTTCGACTAACTTTGGATTCCTCTTTAGCAAATACAGATTTAATAATCCTCCTTTGGATGTTTAATGAGTCACTATTTAATAAATCAAATTTACAGACTTGATGTTGCAAAATTCTGTTGATATTAACAAAAATTGGCAAAATTTTTCTATCTAACTAGTTTTATTAAAGAAAGAAAAAGAGGTGACTCACCCATATATATAAAGAAGACTTTATGAAACTATGGACCATTTCAAAATTACAATCATTCGAAATTAATTAATAAATTATATTTCTATGGCTCTCAAAACTAAATAATAATAATAAAAACATATGAGAGTAAAACGCGGTAATTGGAGCGTATTCAATATTGTATTATATATTGTTTCTTACATATAAATTTCAAACGTTTCGACTCTTTTTTTAGTCTTATCAGCGAGACGCATTCACACAAATGATGTAATGACAATAATTTTAATAGTAAGAAACTGAAATTGTAACACTACTAAAATAGCATAAAGGTATGTAACAGAGAGTAGTTGCGGGAAAATTACCCACTTCTTTTATTTTTTCTGATTTCTGCGGCATAAATCCCAGCGCGGCGGAGTTTTGCTGGAGTTACCTTAAATTTCATCGAATGATCGTGTAAAAAATTAAGATACAAAACAGCAATTGTCTTATTTTTGAAATATATTTTAGATCACTTGTATACATACTAGCAATTGCAAAAGTTTTATAAATTATTTTTAATTTTATGTGCCAAAATTGAATTAAAAATAATTTATAAAACTTTTGCTAATCTATCCCCCACTGGGGATAGGCTGGCAACATACACCAGCATGAGCCCATATTTGTATTTTCTGATCGAATTTTTGAAATTTATTAATTATATTATCAATGTTGTACGAAGTAAAGACAATATTTTTTGACATACAAAATTAAAATTAATTTATAAGCTTTTGCTAGTTTAGTATGTGTACAAGTGATCTAAAATATATTTCAAAAATAATACAATTGCTGTTTTATGTCTTAATTTTTTACACGATCATTCGATGAAATTTATACGGATGTCCGAACTTCCATGAGCGGTAATATAGAAAAATGCAGAAAAATATCATTCTAGTGCTAAGAGAGAACGCAATTTTTATTCTTCTTCTTTTGAGTAACGATTATATCATTACAAAGAATATTTTCTTGATAATATAATTTTAAAATAATAAGATAGGAACAAGACCGTTTATATTAAATAACATTACAATCCGAAGCGCCACTACGGTTTAAGTATTAAGATGTTGAACTAATATATATATTATTCAAATGAATGAATTAACTTCAGAAATAATAATTACGTGTCGATGTGGTTGTCGACATTAACGCAATTAATCTGAAATGTAATAATCCCCCCAAAAAATCTCTCCTCGCACGGAATGCAAGAGATCCGGGTTCGACTCCCGGCCGAGGCAATATTTTTTCGCAATAAGTTTATTATAGTTTTTTAAGATTAATTTGGGGAATTTTTGGGGGGATTATTACATTTCAGATTAATTGCGTTAATGTCGACAACCATATCGACACGTAATTATTATTTCTGAAGTTAATTCATTCGTTTGAATAATATATATATTAGTTCAACATCTTAATACTTAGACCGTAGTGGCGCTTCGGATTATAATTTTAAAATACTTTTATTATTTACTTGAAACAAGTAATATAATATTTATGTATATAACATTTTTCTATATGTGCACGCTTCAGAACGAACTAAACTGAGTTTTTTCGAACAGTTCTTGATTATTTCCTAATTTTCGCAATCGAGATATTATTTTTAAAGCGCCGAATATCCGCCATCGATAGCTCGGCGTGCGGGAAATGGGGCAAGCGCCCCGCTCGGCAATAATATAGTAAGTCTGGCGGACGCGCTTATTTGGCTATTTTTAAACGTTAATATCTCGTTAACTATTGCGAGCATTGCAAAATGGTACAAGACTTTTCGACTCAGCTTAGTCCGCTCTACCTGCTGACGGTCATAAATTGGAGCCACCCTATATATAGTATACCTATATGTATATATTTGAATTATTTAAGCATCAAAGATCCAGCTATGATTGTTATAGGTCTTTAATTCCTATTTTTTATTTGTTGCGTGTTCTTACATGTATAGTCTAATAAGATTCTTATTGTTTAATTCTATTTATTTATCATAGGCTATGATTTGCCATGGGAAGAAAAAGATCAAATTTATCCTACTAACCTAGCCTTGCCACTGGAAATAATAATTGAAGCAAGCAATGGTGCTTCCGATTATGGAAACAAATTTGGAGAACCTCTAATATGTGGTTTCGCACGTTCTTACGGGGCGACAAATGTTGCAGGAGTTAAACGAGAATGGATTAAACCCATAATGTTCAGTGGAGGATTAGGAACTATAGATGCGAATATGACTAAAAAGGTAACTAATTATTAATTATATAATTAGTTTTAATACTCAAAATAAAGATTAGAAAAACTAATTATTAATTTAATAATTAGTTTTTCTAATCTTTATTTTGAAATTATAATCAACCAATTTTTATAAATTTTGAGATTTTTCATAAATATTGAACAGGTTTCTTGCTCTTTATTGCATCATCAATAAACTGAAATTAGAAAATTATCTAAAATGAATCTTTTTAATGAAAATGTAACTGTTTATGTGTTGTACTAGCACAATTTTTTAAGGAAGGTTTGTACATTAAAGTGGAATGTTTTTCGAATAACTCTGATATTATTCGTTAAGCTGTTTGTTTTTCATCAATCAATTTAATTAATTGATTAAAACAAGTGATATATTACAATAAAATAGTTGCGTAAACATTTTTTGTATACATATTAAAATAAATTAGTTTATTCGCATTCCATTGCTCAACTACTGATCTGTATGAGTTATTCTTATGTGTGCATATATTCTGTAATTAAAGTTTACTAACAAACGCCCAAAGGCATAATTTTTATAATTAAAATTATGATTATACAGTTCAGTCTTGTAATTTAACAATTATGATTAATGTAGCTCGGTCTTACATTCCTATGATAAAGTTCTATAAGGTATAGGTTACTCCACGCGAGTCTATTAACTAATTCTAGAATGAGTTAATAGACTCGCGTTAGACATTATATTCGCAAGTTAGACAGAACGCGAGTTTACTGTTCTCGGAACGCTTAATGTACACATGTAGACAACATGTAGACAACAAGGATTTCGTTTTAGAGGTAGTAGGACTTGGAAGGATGTTTCATAAAAGATAAAGAAAAATGAACACATGAATTAAGAATAAAACGTAATACAATTTGTCATATGCGCAAATAAAATAAATACCATAAGGCGATCTATTACTCTCTCATGCAATCTTATACTAGTTAGATAGCTGAATAATGCCAATTGATTGATTAATTTCACTGGTGTAAATTATCAATCAACTGATCGTGGATCGCCTCACGATACTTATTTTATTTGTGCTTATGACAAATTATGTCACGTTTCATTTTTAATTCGATACTGATGATGGTTAAAAGATTAATCGGAACGTTTTTTATTGAAAGAATGTTATTAAAACATAATTTATGAAATAATAGTATCATTATTACAGCCCATTGACTATTTTATTTTATTTATATTTGTTATTTCATGCAAAAAAATAAGTAGCGCAATCCATTTTTTAAATCCACAATATGTAGTATTGAAATAATGTATAATAATTACTATTCTTTCAGTCCAAAACGGATTTGAGAGTTTCGTATCTTGTTTTGTCTCAAATACCAGATTGAAAGAAAGTGAGTCTTATTCTTTTCAATCAAGGAAAAATTTCTTGAGTCATAAATACGTTTTAATTCGTGAATCACATCTTCGAGCTATATACTTATTCATTTGCCAAATTCTAAATTACTATTAATATAATGTTGTTATATTTGCTTCAGATTCCAGCAAAACGAGGTATGAAAGTAGCCAAAATTGGTGGACCCGTTTATAGAATTGGTGTAGGAGGAGGTTCAGCAAGTTCCATGGAAGTGCAGGGTGATAATAGTATGGAATTAGACTTTGGTGCTGTGCAACGGGGCGATCCCGAGATGGAGCAAAAATTGAATCGCGTTGTGCGTGCGTGTGCAGAGATGGGTGATAGCAATCCAATCCTTAGTATCCACGATCAAGGTGCTGGTGGTAACGGAAACGTCTTAAAAGAGTTAGTGGAGCCTGCCGGTGCTGTGATCTTCACAAAGAATTTTGATCTTGGGGATCCTAGTGTAAGCACGTTAGAACTTTGGGGTGCAGAATATCAGGAGAGTGATGCAATTTTATGCAAATCAGAAGACTGTGATTTACTGAAGAAAATTGCTGCACGTGAAAAATGTCCAATCAATTTTGTTGGTATTGTCACTGGAAATGGGAAAATTATTGTTTCTGAGGAAGAAGATTGCGATATTTCAAAATATCTCAATTACGAGGATAAGAACTTAGATAGCAAAGAGAGAGAGAGTAAGCATCCAGTGATTCTAGAGCTAGAGGTAATTCTTGGAAAAATGCCACGCAAGGTTTTCAAATTACATGATGTGTCGGTGCAGAAATTTCCATTGAAACTGCCTGATGGATTAACTGTACTTAGCGCATTGGATAGAGTTTTAAGGCTTCCTTCAGTTGCCAGTAAACGGTACGTTTTATTTTATGTTATTATATCTTTTATTATTTTATTATATTTACTATTAGAGAAAGAAATGCAAATGTGTAACTATTTGATTTTTGCGTGAAAATGCTCGTCAGGTTCTGGTCGGTCAGAACGCAAAAGAGGTTCGTTCAGGGAGATGAGATGCAATGAAAAAGAGCGGTGCCGATTACAAATGAAATAAATATGTATTTATTGTAGTTGTGCAAAAATAATGTTCGATAGAAATGTAAGAAGTTACGCGATATTTGGCCAGACAGGAATTTCACGGTAGTTAGCTCCTGCATGCGTGCGTACGTTGTGTTAGTGTCGTTGCAGACGGGTTTTTCTCAGGTTTTCTATATGCAGTGTTCGCGAGTTGCGTGGAACGCGGGACGGCGATCAGCTATTGTTACGTCCCAAGGTCCAACCATTGGTAATTGATACCTGGACAAACCGGGGACCAATGGCGGGTAACAAATCGAGAGTTGCGCGTTCTTTCGGAGAAGAAGAAACCTACGGTAATCCCTTCATGAATCTTGCTGATGGTTCGGTCCGTGGTGCGGGACACGCGGCTCAGTCTGGACTCCGGTTGGTCAGGCTCCTTGTAGGTGCTCGATGATTGGCCGGCGCTGATTCCGCTCGTTCACACACACGATCTCCAAGTTAAACGATAAACGTATACGCGCGGCGGCGTTTATTGTAAAAGGAGAGGTTTCGTCAGATATTATTATATATACGTACTTATAATTGCTCAAAAGTAATTAGTGTATTTTATAACTTCTGCAGTTGCTACACACATATCCAGACTTATGTTATAACTAATAATTAGATGCGGTTAACTAGGAAGGTTAAATAAGATGTACCTATGATTAGATTGGATTGCTCACGCGAGTGGAATTAAACTAGAAATCACGATACTCTGGAAGAGACCGTTTCTCTTCGACCAGACCTGACCCCGGGAGGTTTTGAACTAACTCCTTAAAACACTCGCTGCTCGCGAGAGAGAGCAAGTCCCGTTTTTAGAACCTGAACGCTTTCAGGAAAAAGGTACCCCTCCATGCTGGTAGGGCGCGTGAGGTGGGGAGAAGATGTCAGGGGCGGTCCCTGCAGTTCTAGTGCCCCGTCGGTTATTGAAGTAAGGAAAAATTTGTAATTTGGCCAAGGACATTCCTGGACAAGTTTTATAAGTACCGCTGACGTGACACTATGCAGTTCGACATGTTGATTAGCTCGCGTAAACGCGGGTAAAGACCAAGCACGAATCGCGATCGTTCTCGCGATGCGGTGTACTGGCGAGCGTTTTCCCTGATGCAATGCGGATGTGCAAGTAGATACTTAACGCCCGAGAACACTTGGCAGAGGCAAAGAAATCTCTATCCCATGCTACTAGAGAGATCGATAGGAATTGCAGTGGTAACTGCCACCAGCGGTCAAGAATATTCGATTCGGAGACAGAGCACGCTCTACAGTATTGTTTCATTAGAAGGTTGAAGGTTCCTTCATTTTGAAGGTTTTTTTCAACCTATCGGAAGGTTAAAGGAAGATTTTTGAAAATTGAAGATTTTTTTTACTAGTACGAACTATGAATCACTATTCAGTGAGAAAAAATTATCGGTTTGCGTCCCAAAACTTTACTTGAATAACTAAAATCTATATTTTACGTTAAGTGACGTAAATTATAGACTTTTAACGTTGAAATGTTTTGGAACGCACTCTTGCGCAATTGGCAATACTGGGATTACAAGCTTCCTCTGCAGTTGCACGAGTCTTATGTCCATCACGTCTATGGGCGTGTTTAAGTCGACAAAACGGCTAGGCATGCTTGCCGAGCGAATGAGCATGATTGGTTCTTATTTGTAGATCCAACCAATCATGTTTAATTGTTCGGCGAGCGGATCTAGCCTCTTTGTCAACTTGAACTCGCTCTATGAGTTATGGACTCTATACTTTGTGGCCCTGTGTGACTGCAGTCTGCAAGCAATGGAGAAGGGGGCTTCCCATCCTGTTCGCGCCAATCGCGCCGTTTGTTGAAACTGTACAACATGAAATGAATGAATTTTCGTTCCGACTTGCTAATTTTCTCTCGCAAAATAGTTATGTATATATATTACATATATTTCAATACGAGATACATATTATACATAGCTAATTTCTAACTGATTTGATCTGATCAATGTGACATCATCCAGATAGGTCAGATGTTAAATATCCGTAAACAATACGGTTTAAAAATATTAGATATACATTTAATTTTCAGTCTTTAAAGTCGACTGATTAATCAGTGCATAGAATTATCACGGAAATAGTTATTTACTTCACGCATTGATAGGCCATTCCCTTGGTTACATTACATGAAATCAATGAACGAGAAAGAGGAAGTCGAAAAAAATGAAAACACTCCACCAAAAAAGCGGCTGAAGAATGAAAAATATCGAGTCGTCCAAGTCTCTAGAAAAAAATTTCAATCCTTGTGGCTACAGTATTCTCTTTTTAAAGATTGGCTTCAAGAAATCAAAGGTGAAAACAACAAGGCAAGATGTTCAGCATGTCACTGCGACATTATTCTCTCCAGCAGAAAATATGACTTACAATGTCATATGAGCACTAAAAAATTTGTTATATGTATGAAAGAGACTTCTTCGATTAAAAAATTGTTTGACACCCATACTGTAAATAGTTTTATGGCTTCCATTGAATCTAAGAAAATTAAGGAAGCAGAAATCTATATTTCTTCAATTTTTGCTCTACATCCGCTTGCATTTCAGTTAATTGATCATATTTTGCCAGTTTTTAGGCAGCACAGGGATGTTTTGGATAAAATAACTTTAGGTAGAAAAAAGTACACCAACACAGTGAGAAACATTATTTCCACAGTAGAAACTGAAAAAATTGTTTCAATATTAAAAGTTACATCATTTTCTATTTTAGTAAATGAGAGCACATCAATTCAAAATAATAAATATATGTTTCTATTAGTTAGATACGTTTGCCCTAATAGTAGAAAAGTTTGCATTAAATTCTTAGAATTTATTTTACTCGATGCTAAGAATTGCACAGTAGAAGCTTTACACAATTATATGCACAAATCAATAACTGATAAAGGATTATCAATGATAAAAGATTATCAATGAAATTAATTATTGGTTTCGGCACGAACAATGCAAGTGGTAGGGTCAAACAATTATTTACGCACAACAATTACTGACGCGATTAAAACGCGTAAATCCTAAACTAATTTTAATACATGTTGTAATTCTGGACACATAGCTTCTGGAGAAGAAAGTAAAACTCTTCCAAAAGAAGTGGAGCATTTACTGTGTAGTTTAGTTACGTATGTTACAAGTAACCCAAAAAGGTCTGCACTTTTAGAAGAATTTCAACTATTTTGTGAAGAAGAAAAAACTAAGTTATTAAAACCTGCTACAACAAGATGGTTTTCACTTCAACATTGCGTAGTAAGAGTTTTGGAACATTGGAACTCTCTAAATTTGTATTTTATTAACGCAGTGCACACAGACGATTTAGGCTCCGCTAAAGATATATTAAAAAAGTTGAAGTGTATCTCTTATAACAAATGTAATGGAAGTATTTTCAGAATTAATAAAGCCGAGTTTAATCGAACAAGAGTGGAGATATTTAGCCATTTATTTTTTTAACGGGATCGTATTGAAGCTCTTTCTAAAATGCCATTAGATGAGATGTGGCATACAATATTTCAGGTGCAAAATTATGAAAGTAAATTTATCTTCGAAAACGTTGTAATGTTAGCTAAACTAATTTTAAGTATTCCACATGCAAATATTGATGCAGAACGAATGTTTTCATAAATGGTTTTATAACCAAAAAGCGAAATCTCGCTAATGATACAATAAATAGTTATGATTACAAAATCTTCCTTCAATGATGACACGATTTGCTGCAAAGATTTTAAAGTTAGCGAGGAATATATAAAGGAATATATAAACCTACAATCATAAGAAAACTCGCGTGGCATAAAATCTCGGAAAAAAAGTGTTTTAAAGAGAAATGCATAATATTATATAATATGTTTATTATATAATATGTTTGTCTATGTATTATTTGCGATATCAGTAGAATAAAGAATACATGTATACAATGTATTTATGTATGTATGTATACATGTATATATTTCTCGATATTGTTTCATTGCTACCTCATAAATCTTCCCTCCAAGGACAAATTTTTTTTTTTTGGTAGTCGATGCTGATTGAAGGTTTTTCTATGGCGTTTTTTCCATAAAGTCTTACTTTACTTTGTTAAGAAAAACTTCTTTAAATTATAGTGATATTCATGTTTAAGATTTGAACTTTTTGTCAATTCCAAATTTTAGCATCTCTTTAGACAGGGAGTTTTCATTCTTGGGATTGACAATATAATTTTCTCCTTTCTATTTTTGTGCTTGGATTTTGTTACTTTTCTGACTACATTGAACATTCTGAAGATAGATTAAATAAAGAACTGAAACGTAAATTTAAGTATTTGTTTAATTACATTTTAAGTTTGCGCACTCTATTGCGCGCTATATTATCTGCGTCTTATATATATTAGCTGTTTTTAATGAATTATTATGTATATTATATTAATTATTCATTTGTCTACTTAATATAATACAGGAATATGATAAAAATTTAAAAATTATTACATTTTTACTAGGTATCTGACGAATAAAGTAGATCGTTGCGTGACTGGCTTAGTTGCTCAACAACAATGTGTTGGTCCATTGCATACTCCTCTGGCAGACGTTGCTGTGACAGCTATTTCACATTTTTCTACAAAAGGCATCGCTACTTCCATTGGTGAACAGCCAATTAAAGGATTAGTCAACGATGCAGCCGGCGCTCGAATGACAGTAGCTGAAGCACTTAGCAATCTAGTGTTTGCGCAAATTTCTGTATTGCAAGATGTCAAATGTAGTGGCAATTGGATGTGGCCGGCAAAACTTCCAGGCGAAGGTTCAGCACTATACAAGGCTTGCTCAGCAATGTGTTCTCTAATGAAGGAACTTGGTATTGCGATCGATGGCGGTAAGGACTCACTTAGCATGGCTGCACGTATCAATGAGGATATTGTAAAGGCACCCGGCACTCTCGTCATATCTTGTTATGCACCGTGTCCTGATATTTGCCAAGTAATCACTCCGGATCTCAAAGCTCCCATTATGGGACGACAAGGTTGCCTGCTTTTTATTGATTTGTCTTATGGCAAGAGTCGGCTTGGAGGAACTGCTTTGTCTCAGGTATATGGTCAATTAGGCAACGATGTGCCGGACATCGAAGACGTGCAAACTTTCAAGAATGCCTTTATTGCTACACAGCAATTAATCGCCGACAAAAAAGTTCTCGCCGGTCATGATATTAGCGATGGGGGACTGATTACATGTCTTCTAGAAATGTGCTTTGCTGGAATCTCAGGAATCAATGTTAATATAACTCATAAATCTGATTCTGTTATTGACGTTTTATTTTGCGAAGAGGTTGGTTGGGTATTGGAAGTCGATGAAAAATACCAAGATGAAGCAGTGAAAACGTTACAATGCTACGGAGTTCCAGTATATTTAATCGGAAAGTCTGTAGGCCTTGGAATGAACTCTGAGGTGGTCGTTAAAGTTCGAAATGAAATTGTATTAAGTACTACAGTAATTGATTCAATGAGCATTTGGGAAGAAACTAGTTATCAATTAGAACGCCGTCAAACAAATGTCACTTGTGCATTGGAAGAATTTTCTCGGCTAAGAGAACGAACTGTTCCAGCTTATCGCTTAGGTTTTGATCCTGTTAGATCTCGTCCAATGCTAAAGAATATAGCAGAGCGTGTTAAGGTAGCCGTCATACGTGAGGAAGGAATTAATGGGGATAGAGAAATGGCAGCGTCTCTGCTGGAAGCAGGCTTCGATGTCTGGGATGTTACAATGCAAGATTTGCTGGAAAATCAAATTACATTGGAAGTCTTTAGAGGCGTTATCTTTCCTGGTGGTTTCAGCTATGCCGATGTTTGTGGTTCCGCAAAGGGATGGGCAGCCAGTTTCCTCTTTCATTCATCTTTACGTGAGCAATTACGGCGATTTGTTGCTCGTGAAAACACTTTCAGTTTGGGTGTTTGCAATGGCTGTCAATTAATGAGCATATTAGGTTGGATTGGCGACGAAGATACTAAAGACGGAAAGAGGTCAGGAATTTGTTTGGATCATAATCTCTCAGAAAGATTTGAATGCAGATGGACCACTGTTAGAATTGAGAACTCGCCATCAATCATGTTAAAAGACATGCAGGATAGCGTGCTAGGTGTATGGGTAGCTCATGGAGAGGGAAGATTCACTTTTCGCAAGGAAGTTCTGAAAACTCTTGAGCAGAATAATTGCGTAGCAATCAGGTATGTATTCACATTTTAACTTTTAACTTTAATTCTCGAGATGTGTGTGATATATGATACCGCCACAGACTTCTATAACCAGACTACTCACTTCGATTATTTGCATGTAATAAAATTGATGTCGAACTGTCCTTTATGATAAACTATTACGCACATGTATGCATACTTTGTGAATATAATACATGATTTGACTGCATTGTGACAATATATTATCTAAAAGCTTTTTAGTCATATGTATGTGATAAGCACTGAATATAAAATTTAAAAACGGACTCTTAATTTTTAAAATAAAAATAATCCATTCAAGGGTAATGAATTTTTTGATAAATGTTTATCTTTATACAGCCCGCCCCAAATGATTTTTTACCGACCTTGATGTTGACCTCCAAGGAAGTCAAGGTCATTGATTTTTTTTATTGCTCGTTATTCATTAAAAAAAGATGTGATTAGAACAATTTTTATCGTTTCAGATGAAAGTCCGCAAGCAGGGGGGGAAGTGGGGTGGGAGTCATTTCGCGTGGAAAGTCGTGCATCCCTTGGGATGCAACTTTCATCCAAAGTGACTTCCACTCCACTTCCCCCCTGCTTGGGGATGCGACTCCTATTCCACCTCCCTTTCTGTTTAGGGGCGCGCGACTTTCACCTTCCCCTAAGGGAAAATATTGCTGAAATATGTACTTTATGTTTAAAAATGATGTGCTTTTCATTAAATTATTCTGTTCATAATTTTTTAATGAATAACGAGCGATGAAAAAAATCAATGACCTTGACCTTCTTGAAGATCAAGATCAAGAAGATGAAGATCAAGGTCAGTGACGAGTCATTTGGGATCGGCTGTGTAAAAGTAAACATTTACCAGTTTTATTTTAATGAGAATAGATAGAAATGCCCAACGATTAAGTTCATTTTCAACACCATTTCCACAAGATTAAAATTTTTATTTACTACACGTGTTTATTTGGAATAAAATTCTATTAATAATTCGAAAAGGGTTGAGAGGACTCCGTGGTTTTTGATTCCTTATATTCTGACAACAGCAGATAAATTCATAACAATTTATAAAAAGAAAAACTTAAAAACCAGCTTTTTATAATAACGACAAAGTAGATTCATTAGGGTCCATTCTCCCTAAAAATCAGAAAAAAATTTAGTATATAAAAATTTAGTATATAAAATGTAACAACTTCGGCGCGAATTAGCTCGCCGAAGCACGTAGTTAATACGGAAAAGAAATTGCATGATTGATTTTCCACGCAAAGCAAGATCTATCTGAATAAAAAGTCGTAAAATAAAAAAAATATTTTTTCATTTCCCGAAGTTGAAACTATATGTTTTTTATTTTTCACATTGAGTAGAATTTATGTGCAAAATTTGAAATTAATCGCGAGCGAATCATTTAAAACTATATCCGAAAACATTCATGAGTTTTTTAAAATAATTACTAAAAATCGTTTTTTCATTAATTATGATTTCTTTTAATGTCATTTTGATATTATGTGTCTTGTCGTTCTGTTAACGTTACATACATTTCAATAGTAACGTGCATCGCGCAAGTACACGATGATCGGTAAACTCGTGCTGTTGAGAGAGTATCCCATAACTTTGGCATTCCATTATTATTGCCTTATGAGCCAAATTTAGAGAAATTTTTATACAAATAAAATAAATAGAACACATTTTAATAAAAATCAAATATTTTAAAAATATTATTTATGTATTTTATATCAGTCTGTATGCATTTTTACAACAGATACACGGATGATTATGGTAATCCAACTGAATGCTATCCTATGAATCCGAATGGTAGCGTAAATGGAATTGCTGGAATTTGTTCTAAAAATGGTCGACACTTGGCAATGATGCCGCATCCGGAGAGATGTACACAAATGTGGCAATGGCCTTGGAAACCAGCAGAATGGAACTATGAAGCCTCACCATGGCAGCGACTTTTCGACAATGCATATATGTGGTGCCAAGAATGCAATTAGGGAATTCGAATCAAGTTCAATAATATGTTTAATCAAAGAACTTTATTTCCATATTATTATTATCTCATTTACTTTATTATTATCCACTTTTTATACTTGATATGATCAGGAAATGGAAAGTTATTTTTGAAAAGTAATAAGTTACAATTATTTCGTTAAAAAAGTAATAAAAAGTAAAGTTATTATTACTAATTACTGATTTTTAATGGAAGTAACTCGTTACAATTACCGTTATTTGAGAAAATAACTTTTCGTTACTTTTCCGTTACTTTTTATAATAAAAATCGATCAATCACAGCAGATGAGTGCCTAGGGCTTTCTAATGTTCTGAAGCACTATGAGAGGCTTGTGTTCAATCGAACCGTGTCCAGTCGTGTACAAAGTAACAATAAAAGAAACGGAAAATTCGTTACTGTTACAAAAAAAATGTAATTACATTATCGTTAGGTATCAAACAAAAAATAACGCAATTACCAATAAAGTTACCAAAAAAAGTAACTTGTAACTATAATTTCATTACAAGTAATGAGTTACTTCCATTCCTTAGATATGATTCATAATATGTACTAATAGAAACAATAAAGACTTGAATATTGAAAAAAAAATAGATAACTAACAAATGCGATGATGCATAGTTGAAACATTTGTTTTAAATTGAATATATGTATATTACGTTACTTAAACAGTTTGAACTTTTTAGAAATACCGAATAGAATCAAGGTTCATAGAAACTTATAATGAACAAAAGAAATACATAAAAGAATGATCCAATGAAATAATTTAAAAGTAAATTGTATAAATGTAACGACTCGCGTGGATCTAATTGCCTAAACACAAAGATGACCGTAACTGACAATAAGTATTCATAGTTGGTTCTTATTTGAAGATCATCTTAAGTAATGTCTTAAGATGCTAATGCGGCTTTCTGATTGATACCTCAAGATTGAACCTAAGATGGTCTTGAATGTAAGAACTAACTATGAATATCGGCCAATGAGCACATAGTTGTAGGTTGATCAAAACATTGTTGACTACGGTTACAACTCACATTTCACAATTTATTTACAGCCATCTTTGCTGAGATCCTAATGCAACTTCCGTCTTTAGCAGAAATCACGTCCTGCGTTGCCATAGAAACACGACGCGCGAAATCGCGAACGCGAAAACATGGTTCACGACATTTATATGTTCGGCGCGTGAACCCCAAGCGGTTATCGCTGTGCGTTTGCAAGATCAAATTAAAACAAAATAGAAAGAACGGTAAGTACAAGTGTCAGGCACGGTTCCTGTTCAAATATAATTAAGTACAAAAATTTTTAATATATGAATAAATTAATTCACTTTTATTTTCAAATAACTTCATGTCAGGGAGACATTTTCTCCCTGGGATAATACAAAAAACGACTAAGCTGCATCTTAACACATATAACAGTGCTCGGAATTAGTTGCACGGTATACTCAATATACCTTACAATATAGCCTTTTTCATTGAACTTTGATACTAATTTATAAAAAATCGAATATTTACCTAATCTTCAAAATAATCTCGTTTTCTATATATTTGCGCCATCTTTCGGGAAGCTGCCGAATTCCACTTCAGAAAAAAGAGGGTTGTTTTGAATTTATAAATTTGATCATATTTTTCTTGACATCCTTAACATAAGTGAAGTGAGTATCAGACAGATGATGTTGCAAGGATCTAAAAAGGTGATAATCTGAAGGGGCGAAATCTGGAGAATACGCCGGGTGCGATAAAAAAAATTTCCCAGCCCAAGTCGGTGATCGTTTTCAAAGTTTTTGCTGTGTGTGGCCACTCGTTATCCTGAAACAAGATGACCTTCCTTCTTCCCTTGCCGGTATAAGGCCTTTTCTCCTCCGATATGTATCACTAACATGAATCAGTTGCTGCTGATAACGTTGAGCAGTTTCACCAAGTTGGAGCAATTCGTAATGAACGACATACTGATCCCACCATATGATATATACACAGCAGCAACATCTTCTTGGTATGGATATTCGATTTTGCGGTATTACTTGAAGGCTGTCCCAAATAAACGCATGATTTTCACCTTTTTGAATTATCGTAAAGGATCCATTTTTCGTCACAAGTCACAATTGTTTGTGCAGAAAATCCTTTTTGAATCGGGATAGCAACGACACAGCAATATTATAGTGTCTACGCTTGTTTTCAGTTATGAGTTCGTGGGGAACCTAATGGCCTTCCTTTTGAATTCTCCCCAGCTTATGTAGACGCTTAGAAATGGCTTGCCTTGTTACTCCGAGTTCCTGTGCGAGCTCTGACTCTGTGCGACAGGAATTCTTTTCCAAAAGTTGTTTCAGTTCCTCATCGTTGACTTTCTTTGGCTGTGCCGGACGTTTTTCATCATTAAGGTCGAAATTTCCACTCTTAAACCACTGTAAGAAACAGCATCCTTTCCCAAAGCCGAACAAATCATTTCTTGTGCTTCAGCAGCATTTTTTTTAATTGAAAAATGAAAAGAAGACAATGCTGCTTCTCGAACAACATTGCTTTTAATACCTTTTTTTTTTTTAAGTTAGATAGTATAACTTCCAACAATTACAATGCGTTTGAAAGTTTAAAGATGGTGCTCCAATATGGCGAGAAAGATATGTAAATTTGAATAAGTACTCATCGATTGAAGTTAGAGGCCGAGAATTAAGTTGCGCACCTAATACTTTTATATGGGTCTAAAAAGTATCCGCGATTTTTTGTCACTAGATGATGTTGACCATCAACACAAAAAACCGCGGATACTTTTTAGATGACCTAATATTTAACTTTGCTAATGTCATGCGTAAAGCAGCTTTCAGTATGCACTAATCTAGTGTAGTGCAAGTGACCGAATTCATTACTTGTTCCAAATTATTCCAATATAGTAGTTAACTCTGACTTAAGATGCATTCACATGCAAACATCAAGCGTCAAATAGCGGAAGTACAATCAATCAGTTGGACAATATGGGCAGTGATGTAAAAATATTTTTTATGCCATTGTAAAAATCGCCTCGTTGATTGGTTGTTGCTTCCACTGCTTGACGCTTGCATGTGAATGCACCTTTATTCTGCTCCCCACTACTCGAGGTTCTATCACAATATAACCAGTAGGGACATTTCAGGTGCGTTTATTTTTTACGCTCATGCGCTGTAAGCTTCATTCTACCTTTATTACTTGCTACTTGCGGAAAAAGGATAGAATGAAGCTTACAATGCGTGAGCGTAAAAAGTAAACGTACCCTTCGTGTCGGCATCTTTGATCTATGAGACACGCGAGCATCTGCTATGTTAACATTTACATTAGAAATCATGTATTGGAATACATAGTTTCTGATAGGTTGAAATTCTTATTCTCTGTTCTCTGTTCCTTTTATTGTGTGGAGCCCCTAATGATCAACTTCCTATGAGCACATAAGTGAACGAACCTGTTATTACTAGCGCGTCGTCATAGCGACGCGTCTATCAACATTGGAATTTATCAGTCAGTAATAGCTATTAGTTGTGAATGAAAAGATCTTGAGCGATTTATGTAGAAATCTTATTCAATTTCAATGAAAATTTCGTTTTGTTTATAAAAAATTATATTTAATAATTGAACAGTATATTCAACATTATATTATATTTATATTTTGCATAAAATATAATATACTATCATATCACGTTCAAGTGCATACGAATAAAATGTCACAGTAAGTAACTTTAACGTTTTTAATATATTTTTTCTATACCTTAATGTTCTATAATTTAATTTAAGGAGTAAAAATATAACTTGATTATTTGTACCTTTCGATGATGGAAGAGAACATAGTTGCTTATTTAAAAAAATTATCCATTTTACATACATATTTTCTTAAAACGTATGTAAAATGGATAATGTGTTTTCTTTCCACCAATTGATTTATCTCATTATTCTGTTGTAAAAGTATTAAGATACGATTATCAAAAAATTAATAGTTTACGAGTTATTTAACATTTTGTGTCAATTATGCCAAAATAATGTATGAAATATCTCGTAAACTATTGTTTTTTTATATAAACTACCTTAATACTTTTACATGCAGAATAATAGAGGAATATATACTATATTATTTAAAGAAAATTAAATAATTCCATTTTAAAAAATGGAGGTGATCTTTATGTCTTTTTGGCGCCACTATCTAGAAGAAAAACAACGTGACCAAATTACGTCTCCCTCGAAATCATGCAACTTTAAAACTTTTCTTTCTTTTTTTAAAAACAAGCGAATTATTTAAATGGCCTGTTTTAGATGCCTCACCTTGTATTATGTTGTCAGTATAATGTTATAAAGAATATTTTTTTAATAAATCATAAGTTTTTTTAACACAATAGCAATACTTAAATGCATAGTTTAAAATATAAATACAATATATTTTCAATTTATAACCATTCATGCATGTAAAAAAAGTATCATTTTCAAGTTACTGAATAATTAAATTTTTTGAATAGCCGACATTTGAACTATTTTTTCTTTTATAATTTAGAATGTCAATTTTAAGATATTGAAACACATTTTTCCTTTAAACATTTTTTTTTCAGAGTTTAATATTTTTGTATGAAAATTAAGTGCGTTTTTCTTATTTTGTTAACTATATTCAATTATAACAGTTTATATACAATTTGTTATAAATACACATGTGTACAAATGCTTTTTAAAAATGGCAAAATAAACGTAAATATCGTTTAACAGTGCTTAAGTTTTATACAGTGCTCGCTAACAATTCCAGCGAATGAATATTTGCGGAAAGTATGCAATTTTAAGAAAAATATTTTAGACAAAAATTGTTTAAAAAGATTTATTTAATAATCTTATCAGTTTGACTTTTGGGTAGCGTCGCCAATGTCAGGTCACATCGATTTTTTTAAATTGGACTCCCTATTTTTAATTCCAGAATCTAATAGCCGATGTCAAAAGCTCTTCCAAACACTACAATAAAGTTCATTTTCATTAAGTTTCAATACTGCCATTATTAGTATTTCCCAAGATGTCCGACTGACGACTACCTCTTGTATGTTGTTCAGAATCATAATGTGGGTAACATTTGTTAAGATCAAGTTCATTGAAGATTGTTTCTCTTATTTTCATTTTTGCACTGAAAATTCATTTGTACATAAAAATAAAAATAAGAGAAACAATCTTCAACGACTTTCATTTTAACAAATGTTATCCAGGGTATATTCTTCAACAACATTTAAAAAGTTTTACTTTAAATACGAAGCGCTACGGTATGAATGTTAAGATGTTGAACTACTATATATATTCATATAAATGAATTAATTTCAGAAATGATAATTGCATGCCGATATGGTTGTCAGACTTTCAACGCAATCAATCTGAAATATTAATAATCCCCCCAAATTTCCCAAATTTAAAAAACTGTAATAAACTTATTGCGAAAAATTTATATTTGTAGTAAGAGTGCCAAAAACTAAAATGTATAGTAAGGGTTAACTTCGTTTTGCCA